CAAGTGTCTCTTCAATATCATGAGTACTTTGAGTATATGCTAAGGAATGGTATAACCGGGTCATAGGGTAGGTTCATTTGTAGTTTTTCAAGAGCTCTCCACACTGCTTTCCAAAGGGGTTACACTAGTTTGCAATCCCACCAGCAGTGAATGAGCATTCCCCTTTCTCCATATCCATCGATCTCAGGAAGATCTGCCCACCAGCAGTGAATGAGCGTTCCCTTTTCTCCACATCCTCACCAGCATTTGGTATCATTTGTTCTCTTGATCCTAGCCAGTCTGATTGGGGTAAGGTGATGCCTTAGGGTGGTTTTAATTTGCATTTCCCCTAATTACTAACAATGTTGAACTCTTTTCGAGATGTTTCCTAGCCATCTTTATTTCTTCCTTTGTGAACTCTGTTTAGATCTTTAGCCCATCTTTTAATTGGGTCATTTGGTTTCTCGATTCTTTGTTTTTTGAGTTCTTTATATATTCTGGATGTTAAACTTCTGTCAGTTGTGTCACTGGTGAACATTTTTTCCCATTCTGTGGGTTTTCTCTTCACTTTTTTGATTGTTTCTTTTGCTATACAGAAGCTTTTTAGTTTAATGAGGTCCCACTTATTGCGGCCCTTAATTCCTGAGCAACTTCTGTCTGATTTAGAAAATCCTTTTCTACACCTATATCCTGTAAGTTACTGCCAATATTTTCTTCTAATAGTTTCAGGGTTTCCAGTTTCACATTGAGATCTTTGATCCATTTGGAGTTGATTTTTGTGCAAGGCAGAAAGATAAGGATCTAATTTCATTCTTCTACAGGTGGAGATCGTTTTGCCAGCACCATTCATTGAAGATGCTGTCTTTCCTCAATTGTGTGTTCTTGGCACCTTTGTTAAATATCAGGTGGCTGAAATTGCATGTACTCAGGTTTGGATCTTCAAAGATATTCCATTGATCTGTGTCTGTTTTTGTGCCAGAACCATGCTGTTTTTATGACTATGGCTCTGCTGTATACTTTGAGATCTGGTATAGTAATCCCCTAGTCCCCCAGCGTTGCTCTTTGTGCTCAGGATTGCTTTGGCTATCTAGGGTCTTTTGTGCCTCCATACGAATTTAAGGATGCATTTTGATTCTGTGAAGTATGTCATGGGGATTTTGATTGGGATTGTAATTTTTTTTCTCTGTGTGTGTATGGGGGGGGTGTCCATTGTGTATGGAATACACTGTGAGTGTGCATGTAAAGGCCAGAAGTCAATGTCAGATGGCTTCTTCACTCACTCTCTACCTCATTTTTTTGGACAGGGTGTCCTAGTTTGTTTCTTCATTGCTGTGACAAAACACTGTGACCACTACCAACTTGAGTAGGAAAGGGTTTATTCAGCTTACATCTCTCAGGTCACAGTTCATTAGGGAGCCCAAAGTAGGAACTCAGGGCAGGAACCTGGAGGCAGGAGCTGGCACACAGGCCATGGAGGCACATAGCTGCTTACTGGCTTGCTTCCCTGACCCCTGCTCAGCCTGCTTTCATATGCAACACAGGCCTACCTGCCCAGGGATGGGACCACCCCCAGTGGGCTGGACCCTCCCACATCACTCAGCAATCAAGAAGGTACCCCATGGACATGGCCACAGGCCAGTCCAATGAAGGCAAGTCCCCAACTGAGGCTCCCTCAACCCAGGTGTGTAAAGTTGACACTAAAGCTGTCCAGCACACAGGGTCTCTCACTGAACTTAGAGCTCACTGATTGACTAGACTGGGTACCATCCAGTCCCTGGGATCCTCCTGTTTCCACCTGGGATTACAGGTGCATTATCACATCCAGCTTTTTACATGGGTGCTGGGGATTCAAACTCAGGTCCTCATGTTTACACAGCCATCACTTTACTGACTAAGCCATCTCCTCAGCCCTGAAATGGAGAGTATCTGTTGTGTGTTAAAGCTGTAAGGATTCTGAGCTCTTTTGTAGTGGTCATTGCAGACAATAGTGATCACCAGAACGATGCGTTAGCTTTTAAGACAGTCAAAATTAATTTTAAGCTGGAACAACCCCTACTCTAGATTACATTTAGAATATTACCTATTTTATTAAACCTGTTGGTCTAGTTTATTGAATCCCAAATTCTTTGCTTCTAAGCAAACCAATTTTCTCCTATGGTGTCGAAGCCGCCTTTAAACCGCCAACCACACTCTGAACTGTCATATTACCTGGGTAAGAGATAAAGGATAAGAAAAGTATCCAGTCATCCAACCACATTTCTGCTTTCTGGTACAAGCTTCAGATGAAACACAGTCACTCAATAAAGTTCTTCTGTCTCTTTCCCTCCCTCCTTTTCTCTCTCACCATTTGCCTGGAGAAGGGAACCCTAGACCCTTTGGAGCCCTGCCAGCTACACCAAAAGAATCTCTTGACTATTTTCCCAGGGAATTCCTGCCCTAAATGTCAGCAGAGTACAACTCCCCAGTGAAAGTGTTTGTGTGGATCTGAATCAAGGAAACTGCATTTGTCATACCAGTTGGGAAACCCTGAATCCATCTGTGAGGCGTGGAGGCAGGGAGAGAGATTAATTTTTGAAAGGCTCTACATGCCTTGGGAGGGCAAGTTTTCTAACCTTTGCTTCAGTGGGGAACAGGGACCTAAGTTACACATTTTGAATCCTGGCTGATAATGTGATCACTGTTTTTCTCTTACTCTGGTAGAGGGGATGATAGTTGGAAATCATCCTGAAGTATAAGGTGATTTTTATCTTACTATTACCCACCAGGTAAGGCCTGTTTGAATAAAGAACAAAGCTTCATTAAGCCCTTTGCCATGGTGATTTTTGGCGGCTGTGGCTTGTGTTCTATTTACTTGTTTCTGATGAACGTAGTGATACATAAGACCTCTGGGGGAAATCCATGACACTGAGATTTGTGAAAAGCGAAACAAAATTTATGAACCGGTATTGAATTCTCCCCACCAGCCTGGAGACGCTTCCTGTCTGGGTACTAAGGCATCGCTGACATCTTTAGTGCCTCTGTCTTGGTCGTCAATCTCTGAACATGGGAAGAAATGTTCTGAGGGGAACAGTAGGAGAAGAGACCAGAAATCTCAAAAATATACATCAGCACTAATGAAAAGCAGTGTGGGGAGATTAAAAATTCAGAGGCAAAGTGTATCCATCAGCCAAGCTTTGTGAGGGGTCTCATGGCTTTTTATTTTATAATGACACAAGGCTCTTCAACTAATAACACACAAGTTGCTCTGGTATAGAAGATTATTTATTATTATGAAAGATAATCAGCGTGTCATGCAGCTGTGCTGTCCCGATACAGTTAAGAAATCAGGATTTAAGTAGTAAGTTGTTATTCCACTGTGTGTGTGTGTGTGGCTGTATGTGTTTGAGTATGTAAACATCTGCATTTGCATGTGGAGGCTACAAGTTGGCATCAGCTCTCTTCCTTTGTTTCTCTTTGGAGACAGTGTGTCTACTGAACTTGGAGCTCACTGATTCAGCTAGCCCGGTTGGCTAACAAGCCCCAGAGATCCTCCTGTCTCTCCCTCCCCAGTCACAAGCCCATTTCCTTGTGCCAGCTTTTATGTGCATGCTGAAGATCAAACTCAAGTCCTCATACTTGTATAGCAAGCACTTTAGCAGCTGAGCCACCTCTGCAGACTCTGTTACTCCACTTTTAAACTATGTAGGCCCTTAGTACCCAATGGGGGAAAAATAAATTTATTCCAACTGTCCTTTGGATCTAGACCCAGATTTAAGCAGATCGGTTTAGAAGCTGTTATTTACATTGACCAAGACTCCCACCTCCCTCTGTTCCACCACCATCACCGCAAGCAATCACACCTGCTTTCTTCCTTCATCAGACTCTGCACCCATCACTGCAGGCAAGCCTACTGGAAATGTCTGGTCCTAGCCAGAAGAAAAGCCAAGCAAGTGACTGCGTGTTGCACCAAGCTGATGCTGTTATGGGAAGATCAATAATATCATTTCAAGTAAAAACAGAATACTCTGTTATGCCTAACTAAAAAAAAAAAAAAAACTACCTCTAGCGGATAAAGAGTTAATCCCTGGTCCTTTTTAAGCCACTCCGAAGAGTTCCGATGAGGATATGAGTTGTTGCCAATGAGGGTGGCCCTTCCCTTGACGGGAACAGTCACTCCTTAGGAACTGGACTGTCAACATATCAGCCAGCCAGAGAAAAGGGAAAGAGGCTAAGAAACCGGTAACCAAGTTTCGCTGGCATTTTGTGAGGTGGTAACTGGAACTGCAGAGCTCTGCAGAGAATGCCAATGAGCCCAGTGCATCCAACAAAGAGGAAACCATCAAAATGCACCCGCAGCATTCCGTGGCCCCCTGAAGCACCTGGCTCTGCAGATTCCAGAAGATCTTAGTGCAGAATGCACAGACAAAGCACAGAGCCCCCAGGGCTCCTTGAATGCACTTACTTCAGAGATACCCTGACTCTGCTTCCTTCCTGTCCAAGCAGTTCCTTTAGGACATCTGCCTAGAAAGCCAAGGTTTTGAATTTGGAAGGGGAAAAAAAAAAAATCACACTTTTATAAATCTCATTTTTAAATCTAAATGGTAAACAGCATCAAGAGTCAACATGAAATGTTTCAAATGTTCTTTTTGGACTCACATAAAACAGCCCTCCCCCATCAGAATTTATTCTGACTTCAGGGAGCATATTTTTAAAGACTGTACAATAATCAATATGTAACTGTGTTCTGAAGGATGTAAACCTAATCATCCTTATGTGAGAACTGCCAAGAAAAGGTACCAAAGCACTCCTCTGAAATACCCATTCAACATTTTAATTCTTCTTTCTAATGGGATCCGAATGGTTTGTACCCATTGCCTTGTCTCCAGCACATAACTCAGACAAAAACATGTCTATGTTTAGATGTGCGTGTCTCCAGCCTAAACTGTAATGGTAAGTTAAGAGGCAGAGAAGCCCACAAGTAAAGGCATTTACAATTTTAGGTGCTGGGATGAGTGGTGGGTTCACAGATATTTGTTACTTACAAGTCACTGATGAGCTGTCTTGAGAGCGGCGGTCTATATGCACCAGTGAGGAAGCATCATAAGCCAAGAGTTAAGATTATTCCATTGCTATTCACCTGAAGCCTATTTAAGGAAAACATAATAATGAACTGGTGGGGCACACAGCTACCTTCTAGACCCTCTACAGCCCACCACACTCCTCAGGTGTGGATGTTTCTGTGAGCATGCACCTGCTTTAGAGGAGACCCAGGCTTTCTTAACTCCTGCTGTGACAATCTTGAAACCCTGAATAATTTCTGAGTACCCGATGCTGCATTCATTGTGAACTAAGAACAGCAAAGTATATAACACTTTCCCCAGGTTTCTAAATACCAAGTTTACCTACAATTCCCAATAGTTATTTCCCTAGCTAACACCTGTATTTTAAAGTCTGCTGTTTTGTTTCCCAAAAGTTATTATTGAATTCAGATAAGCTCCCTGGAGTAGTTTTCTTCCCTATATTTTCCCACTTCCCCTTATTTTTCATTGTCCAAATCAGCGTTACTGATGCTGTAAGTGGAGCTGCAGTTACACATTGTGTAATATTTCTTCTCAGATCAAACATTTTAAATAGAACTCATTGGCTATTTGCCACTCAAAACTGAATGCACTGAGTCCAGATCGCAATTCATCTTAATTGCTGGTTTTCTAATAGTTGTCCAATTTCAACAAGAAACAAAGCAGACAAATTCCAATTCTTTGTGATCAGAAGAATCCAGAGAAAGGCTCAGGGAGATCTTCATTTGCAAAGTTTAGTAGCTAAAGAAATGGGATGTAAGTGAATGTTTAGCATTCCTCAAATGCCCTGTGTCTATAGTGATCAGGTACAGGGACTATTTCAAGTTCAAATATAACTTAGCCTTGGTGATTGCCACATGGTGCAGAATCTTTCCACCCCTCCACTCCAAAAACCCAATCAGACAAGTGGTGGTAATCTGACTCCCAGTGCATTGGGAGCTGAGGGCAGAGCTGCACTCTGGCCAGGGAAGGCATGAGTGACAGACCTGCAGCAAGGCGGTGGGGGTAAGTCCTTCTTTGCTTTAAAGGAATAATGCTCAGGGCCAAAAGACAGAACTCTCTTTTTTTATTACAGATATTTGTGTCATCTCAGTCAAATCTAGAAGCTGGCCACAGGACAGGCGGGGGTTCTTTTAAGCCTGGAGACTGAGCTTAGGCAGAAGCAGGACATAGAAAGGAGAAGAAAAGAGATGCTTTTTAGCATGAGAAATTACTCCAGAGGATTTTTTCATCAGAAAAATTACTCACCCAGGAACTCGGCTGTGCAGGAGCAGAGGAGACTGAGTGTTCAGCTAGGAAGTAATATGTCTGGTTCACTGCAGTCCGGTCACATCAACAAATCCCCCTTTGTTCTGGGGCTAAAGCAGCAAAAACAAATTGTGTTGGTTCATTTCCATCGAGTGTGCACACATCAGGGAACACTGATGGGGGGGTGGATACTGAAGTGAGTCCTCACAAGGCCAGAGGGATACATAGGGTACATACATGCCAGACGTTTCGGGGTTCACAGCCAGCTATGGCTGTTTGGGAAGGAGATAAGATTTTTGTGGATTTTACCCAAAATGGGGAGGGTGGGGGAGGCCAAAATCATCTTAAGGAGTATATTTGTGTTTTGCACTTGTTAGTTTGGCTGGTTTGTTTAATTTCTCTGACTGATGAAAATTTCAAGCTCAAAAGCAACTGGGTTTCTTACCTTGGGTCCCTGCAGAGGCAGTCAGGTGTGTGATTGAGGAGGAAGTGAGCTCCAGGAACTGCCAGATGCAGAGAGGTGACAAAGGGGTGTCAGAGGGAGGGTGGCCTTTTCCGAGACCGCCTCCCCTGGGTGCTCTACAGCTAAAAAGGAACTGCTTCCTACCCACCCGGCTTTCTTCAGTTCCTGTCTGGTCCTCTTCCTCTTTCTCACTAAATCCAGCCATAGAGGACAACACCTGTAACAGCCCCTCTGACACCTGGCTACAACCCTGGGCTACTGGTGAGTCCAAAGTGATTCTCTCCACTCTTCCACTTGTGAGTCTCTTCCTCTGGGGACATTTTTATTGCCTCTCCCAGGGCATCCTCTCTGCCTCATTCCAAGTGCTGTTTTTGTCTCTTATAGTCTCTTTCTCTAGGGAATATGAAATCAACATTGTCCCAGCTGGGGTCTTTCATAATTATGAGTCACTTAGAGGACTTCACTTGGGCAGGGGTCATTTGGGATATGGCTGACTGCCCCTCTGTGGGGGTGGGGGTTGTGAGCATGGTTAGAAAGTGGGTTTCTTTAGGCCTGTCATAGGAAGGGAAGGCCCATTGTCAAACGGGCAGCAAAGCTGCAGTCTTAAAGGTGAAGACAGTCTTTGTCCAGTTCTGTGTGATACAAGGTTTCCTCATTGCCCAGGAGGAAGCCAGGTGGTGTAGACAGTGAGTGTGATATGTGGGAAAAAAGCACCATACTATGCATCTAAGGTGAGGGAGTTGCAGCAATTCTAGCTCTTTAAACCCTTGGCTTTCTTGACTAGTCCTTTGCATAGTCATTGTGATTAGAATCCTTGTTAAATGTGCTCTAGACACCTTCATTCTTCTATCATAGGCGGAGGTGTAAATGAATGTCTTAGGTAAGGAGGTAACTGGAACAATTACCCTTCCAAACCAGAACTTGGCCATTTCTAGTCAGAATGAACAGTTGCTGTGGTATCTCCCAATCCCACCCTCCTTTCCAAAGCTCTAAAGACAGTGAAGGGTGATAGACTACAGAAAAAAGCAGCTTAGTCCAGAGCCTGCCTGAGAGCCCACCACCGGCTAATTCCATTCCAACTTCTGACCCCTATCTTCTCCACCCCCATAGGCTCCTCAAGAGTAGACATACTATGCTCTAGGCCCAAGTTCACATGGGAAAATACCTCAAGAATACCCTGGAGAAAAACCCATCCCCTAGATCTCTGCCTCAGGACTGTTCTGGGCCACACCCCCTTTTCCTAGTCTTCCAGCTGTGTCCTCTGAGTGTGCGAAGGGTGCCTGCAACCCAACCCGGTTTGCACACTCCAAACTCCGGGAGCTTTGGGGGGGTCATGGAGGGGTGCAACCAAGGGTTAAGAGATGTCAACAGCCTGAAGAAGGAACTGTCCTGTCTCCCAAACCCTTTCAAAGCATCCCTCACCCCTAGCCTTCTCCTCTCTGGCACCACCCCTGCTGACCCAGGGCTTCTGTCAGTTCACCTGGAAGCTGCCCCAGAGCCTGACACCAGCCCCCGGTGGCCGCAGACCCCCCGCCTAGGCTCCCCTGGGGACTGAGACTGTCACGTTCCCATGCAGCTTCAGTTCCCATGCAGCTTCAGGCGTAGATCTGCCCAGGAGGGTGTGGATATCCCAAGCCAGGGGGCTGAACTCCAGGCTCCTCCCCCAGGGCAGTTTGCTCCCTCCTTACCCAGGGAGTGTCCCAGGCACAGCTGAGGCCTTGCCTGTCCCCAACGCCCATGCCAGGCAAGAGGAGCACCTCCTCCTCCACGAATTTACCTTCCCCAGCAGACAGCTCCACAGTCCTAACTTCCTGGCAGACACCCCCAAATCCATACTCTCTGCTGGGTGTGGGAGATAAAGGGGTACTCCACAAATCCATATTCAAAATGGCATTTTGAAATTACAAAATACCAAAGTGAAAGGGACCTGTCTCTTTTTAAGAAACTGCTTTCTGTCAAAGCATGAATACAGGTGAAAGAGTACAAAGATTAAAACTACTTCAAGGGAACTACCAGTTTAATATACTTTATTCTTAATCTCTTATGGAACTTGGTTTAGACATTTTCCTTTCTGAGGACAGTCTGGGTAGTTGTCCAGTGAAACTGGGTGACCTTTGAATAGGAAATTACAGGAGACTAGAATAACAACCGACTACTAATTAAGGAGGCTTCTAGAAGGAGTCTTCTTGCTTTGCAAAGAATATTCAGTAGCCCCTCCCCAGGCTTCAACAAAACTGCAGGCCTGCTGCTTCCCCCAAGTTCAGTTTCCCTTCCAGGTCAAAAGTCTGGTTGGTTGGCGGCTTCTGATGACGTTGTTCTTTCCAGTAAGTGTGGACCTCCGTGCAGAAGAGCGAGCATCATGGTGGCTTTCAAAGGGGTCTGGACTCAAGCTTTCTGGAAGGCGGTCACCGCGGAATTTCTGGCCATGCTCATCTTTGTTCTGCTCAGCCTGGGGTCCACCATCAACTGGGGTGGAGCAGAAAACCCCTTGCCCGTTGACATGGTCCTCATCTCTCTCTGCTTCGGACTCAGCATTGCCACTATGGTGCAGTGCTTTGGACACATCAGTGGCGGCCACATCAACCCCGCTGTGACAGTGGCCATGGTGTGCACGCGCAAGATCAGCATCGCCAAGTCTGTTTTCTACATCGTTGCACAGTGTCTAGGGGCCATCATCGGGGCTGGCATCCTCTACCTGGTCACACCTCCCAGCGTGGTGGGAGGCTTGGGAGTCACTACGGTAGTCTCTTAAGCTCTTATTTCTAGACTAGACTCCTCTGCTTGCAGACTCTGCTAAAGGACGTTCCAGTGGCCTAGGAGACGCTAGTTTAAGGGATTGGGATTGTATCACAGTTGGTAAAGTGCTTGCCCGGCAGGCATGAGGCCCTGGGTATGGTGGAACATACCTGCAATCACAGCACTGGGAAGTAGAGACAGGAGAATCCGAGGTTCAAGGTCATCCTCAACTACATATACATACATTTCAAAGCAGGTCTGAACTACATGAAATGCTGTCTCAAAAAAGTGAAACTGCTTGTGGCATCATTAAAAATATTCATAGGAGAGGCAGGCATGGTGGCTCATGCCTAGAATCCCAACACATGGGAAGTTGAGACAGAAAGATTAGGAGTCAAGGCCAGCCTGGGCTATGACTGATATGGTGAGACCCTGTCTGGAAAGAGAAAAATTATCCAAAAGAAATTATTATTCTTGAATGATTCACCATAACTAAAATGACACAAAAATAAATTTTCCCTATTCTAGCCCAGTAACTATATGATAGATAGATAGACGATGATTGATGATGATGATGATGATAGATAGATAGATAGATGATAGATGATGATGATAGATAGATGATTGATAGATGATAGATAGATAGATAGATAGATAGATAGAAGATAGATAGATAGGGCGAGCTATGTGGGGGAGAGGGAGAGGGAGGAAGGGGGGAGAGAGAGAGAGAGAGAGAGAGAGAGAGAGAGAAAGACTCACAGTGGCCTGGAACTCATTATTTAGCCCAGGTTTCCCTTGAACTTGTAGCAATCCTCCTGCCTCAGCCTCCTGAGTGCTGGGATTATAGGCGTAAACCGCCATGCCTGGCTTGACTATACTTTATCTTACAGTATTTTTATTACAATCATTTGTTCATTAGCACAAGAAGCAATTTGTTTCTTTTCGTGTGCATGAGATTTAAGAGGATCTCCATGGAGAGTCACAATTTTTTAAAAAGCAAATTGACTTTCGATCTTAGCTTTGATCTTCATTGATTAGAAATATCATTTGTTAGCTCAGTATATGTGCTGTCTTTAAACACATGCACAAAGCTTAAATTTCAGCTGAGGTACATTTAATTAATTTAAACCTAATTAAGGGATTTAGTCATTGCCTCATACCATTATATCTCTCTCAAGAAAGTCTTTTATAAGTTAAGTAGAGCAACAGCACATTTTGTTTTCATTGTTAAAAAACATTCAGCAAAAACTTGGCCTCTATAAAAGTAATTATCTATAATGTATAATGATCCAAAATGAGTGTAAACTTACTCCTTCTTTTGAGGAGACTGAAGGAGATGGAAATCTCAATGTGGGATTGGCAGAAGACTCAAATTCACCATGACTTTTTATTCATATAAAATGTGCCTTTTATAATATGTCGTCATAGAATTATACTCTTGCTTCTATTCTGACAGTGTTTCTCTCTCTCTAGGTTCATGGAAATCTTACAGCTGGCCACGGTCTCCTGGTAGAGCTGATAATCACATTTCAGTTGGTGTTTACTATTTTTGCCAGCTGTGATTCCAAACGGACTGATGTCACTGGTTCAATAGCTTTAGCAATTGGATTTTCTGTTGCAATTGGACATTTGTTTGCAGTAAGTTTCCAAGTCTGTTTAAATAATAGATCCAGCTCGTTTATCCTCACCCTAAAGCTGGCCTGAGGATACATTTTATAGCTGAAGCTCCTTTTGTTTTGTTTTTTAGTATTAATCAGCTGGGAATATTTTAGTTTTTCTATTATAAACACTTGAGCTTTCCTGAATATAACCAATAGTTCTGTGAGTGCCAACTGCTATAACAGCATCAAATTGTCTTAAGAGTTATTTGCTTTGGGTATCTGCTTTCAACACATAGATAATGTGTTAGAAATGGACTTCCATCTAGTTGGACATTCCCAGGTATCTGTAAAAACAAATGCATAGTATTATATAGAAAATACACAGCTGGAGCTCTTTTGGGTCCAGCCATATCTGTTCATATTAGCTGTCATTTTGCCAACTACATGATGGGAATGTTGACAGAGTCCCTGAATCCTGAGATTCCTCCTCTGAGGTGAAAAATAACAGCTAGCTTCAGTGAATGGCCTGTTAACAAGCCGTGTTTCCAACATGTCTGAAGTTTTGTTTTTTGTTTTTTTCCTATAGATCAATTATACTGGGGCCAGCATGAATCCAGCTCGATCCTTTGGACCTGCAGTTATCATGGGAAACTGGGAAAACCACTGGGTAACCATGACATTGATATTTCTTACGGTCTTGTAGTTGAGAACAATTATCCATGAAACTCTAGGTTTAAATTATAATTTAGCTCACTAGTTCCTATTGCTTCCCCCAACGTCCCAACTCTCACTTTTGTTTTATTATTGCATCTTCTGCGAAGACTAGAGAAAGCCAAGCATAGATTTGCTAAGAAAGAAAGAAAGAAGAAAGAAAGCTTTGAAGGAATTTGCTTAAGAGACTGTAGGAAAGAAAGAAAGAAAGAAAGAAGGAAAGAAAGAAAGAAAAGAAAAGTCCTATCTTATCATCTCCTGTTTCTTCAGGGCCTTCACTAATAGTTGGATTTTAAGCCATTGATCTGCGCATGTAATCTGACAGGTTACACCAGAAAACATTGGTGCTTAAAGAGTTGAAGAAAGACTTAAAAACATTGTCCATAACAAAGATATTTACCATTTTTAGTTCACAAAAACATAACCCAATTAATATATGTGATTTGGACTCATTTGATCTGAAGATGGTTCCAGACAAATGGGGCAGGTGTTTATGCCATTGTCACCACAGTCATAGCTAGAAAAATAAGTGACTCCCAGAAAACACACTTTTCACTCTCAGGCCTCACTTACTTGTTAATCTGGGGCCAGAGACTAGTGAGAGTCATTTTAAATATCAGTTATTAACTGTTTCACTTGTGTCCCCCGGGAAAGCATTTAAATCCTTTAAACAAATCATGAGCAACTATGAAGTCCGCTCAAACATTAACTTAAAATAACCTATAAAAATGTGAGACACATATATAGGCCAGTTGCAAGTGGGGCTGACTTTTATTACCATTCATGTATTGTAGATGTGGTTTTCCTTTTTATAAATTTATGAGCACAGTATGCCAATTGTGCTTTCCTCTTCTGCATACAGTAGGGACAGACCAACCACAGCTCCTCAGTGATAGGGTGCCATTGCCGAGGAGAAAGAGATCATACCAGTGCCATATGAATTCACTTATACAAAAAAATGTCATCTGTGAGGCTGGTCATTTCGCCACTGACGTTTCTACTTGTGTCTGAAAAGATTTGCTCCATTAACAAAAATGGGAAATTTTTTTTCTTTTTTGGGGGTGTGTGTATGGTGTGAATATGTGTGCCTTTTCATGTAAGTGTAAGCACACTAGTGCATGGCACATGTGAAGGTCAGAGGACAAACTTGGGTGTCAGTCCTAAGCTTCCACCTAGATTGAGACAGGTCTCCTGTGTACTGCTACATCAGCACACTACCTGGTACTGAGCTCTGGGAATATTCCTCTCTCCACCTCCCGTCTGTTATCTCCCTGTAGAGCACTGGGATTACAGACATGAACTATGGTTCCTGGCTCTGATGCGGGTTCTGGAGATTCAAACTCAGATCCTTACACTTACATAGCAAGCACTTTACCCATCGAGCCATCTGCCCAGCCCCTGAATGGAAATTTGTAATGGGCAGTTAATAGCTCTTACAATAAATAGACAACTTTTAGTTAGTATAATTACATTTGGGGTTTTTTTTTTACACTTTTATGCATTTTATCTGTATTTTCTATATTTCCAGTCATAAAATTCTTTAGGAAATTACATGGTAACTGCTATTCCCCGATAGTCTATACGCATCATTGCAAACTAACTGTACCTTATCCTGTATGACAATATGTTATTCTAAAAATTATCCTAAAGTAATTCATTACAAACCACTTGTAATATTCTTTGTAGTTATTAAACTTAATTATTAAAACCTAAAAACAATTAAAGTCACTTTAATGTACATAGAACTTTGTTTGGGAATTGGCACCGAGGTTTATTTTGGGGAGCATGAAGCTAGCCTTCTCTTCAGAGTGTTAGGGAAGGGTAGTAATTATTTAACAGTATCTGTTCTCCCTTGTGGGATCTGAAGGCTGTGGAGTAGTACCAATCTAACAAGATCGTACCAAGGGAACACAGAGCAAAGGCACTTGGAGGAGGGCTCGCCTTTCTCCTTTGAAAGGGCACCAGGAAGATAAACTTTCCTTTGGATTCTTTCATGTTCACAATAAGGAGCTTGGCTGGTCCAGCCACTGTTCCAACTCTTTCCTGTTAAGGGTATATACTGAGCTTCAGCTGAAAGCTTGAATTTTCTTTACAAGGAGGATTAAGTGATATATTTCCAGAGGGTGTTTTAGCAAAAAGCATTTATCACATTTTTTTTCAAATGAGAGCACAAACAATATATTGGTTAGAAAGATTTAAAGTAACACAAACTTGACATCTTAGCTCAACTATTTATTAAGTATGTGATCTTAAGGAAGCTTGTTACCTTTCAGAACATCGACTGTCAAATCCCTAAGAATGTGTATTTTAATAATATTATTTATATCAAATGGCATTTCTAGAATTAAATGAGAAAATACAATCAAAGTGCTCAGTATAGCTGATTAGAATGCTCAGTAAACAATTTCCAATCCCAAGTGAATCTACTGAATGAATATCAAATAGTCTATAGAATATGTGTACTCTAAAGTATATGTTGCAGCCTAATCCAACTTAAAGCTTAGTTCATTTTAGGTGCATAACTGATATAATAAAAAAGAAAAAATTGTACCTACTGAAATTGTTAATCCTTAACTAGCTATCACCCATAAACTCAGTATAGGCTTTTTTTCACTAAGCACTGTGCAGAGGAAAACACTCCCCAATGAGAGAAATGAACAAACCATAGAGTTCCCAATTAAATCAAATCACCAGATTTAAAAGAGGAAAAGCATACAGCATAAGGAAAAAAACGTAGTCACATTACTCACATACAGCTTCAAATTGTCTAAGAAGCACAGAATGGGGCTGGATATGAGCTCTGAACTATTCAGTACTTTATATGTAGTATTTTATTTATTCTTCACAACCCCATGAGATAGGCATTGTTACAATCCGTGCTTTGCAAATAAATAAATTAAAGCATTAGCATGATTATTCATGTAGCTCAGCTGACAGAGTGCTTGCCTAGCATGCAAGAAGTCCTGGGTTCAGTCCACAACACCATAAAAGCTGGGCATGAAGGCATATGCCTACAATCCCATCACTGTGTAGCGGGAGACTGGAGGATCAGCAGTTCAAGGCCATCTTCAGCTACATAAAGAGTTCAAGACCCACCTGGGATACAAGAGACCTTGTCTCAAGAAAGAAAGTCACTAATGGGCACATTTATGCAATTGAAAAGCAGTAGAGACAGGGCTGTGTTTATCATGCCGTACTGAGTAACCAAATGTTAAAACTCTACCATGATCCTGATTCTAGAGAAAATCAAGGTAAGGGGGCAGAACATGACAGAAGCACTCTCCAAACATTTTTTTTCTTTCCATTTTAATTGAAGAACTCCCAGTGTCTGCATAACTTGTGAAGCCACCAAGAGAAGCTACCTTTTCAATTTTTTATTATTTTTATTTCATGTGTGAGTGTATTGCCTGCATGTATGGAGGCGCACCCATGCCGTGCAATGCCATGGAGGTCAGAAGAAGGCATCAAACCCCAAATCCCCTGGAACCAGAATTGCAGGTGGTTGTTAGCTACCATGTGGGTGCTGGGAAGAGAACCCAGATCCTCCACAAGAGCAGCCATTGTGCTTAACTGCTGAATCATGTCTCCAGCCCTTTATGTTGAGAATTATCATCAAATCGATAAGACAGCAATGATGGTGCACATCAATGTTCTCAGCACTCAGGATGCTGAGGGAGGGGGTTGGTGAGTTCAAGGTTACTCTGAGCTAGACCCCATCTCAAGGAAAAAAGAGATCAGAACATCAAAAAATATAACATCAAAAGCAAATAGAAGAATGATGCTTTCCTATTTTCTGTTCAAGTGTTCTTTGATAATTTATGAATTTCTGGTGTGGCTTGGTATATTTTCTTATTTCTTTCCAATTCCCTTCTCTTTTGCTATGTGTGCGCAAGACACCGTTGCTTAGTTTAACCCAGCTAAATTCTCTATTCACGCATTGTTCATTGAAATCACTTTTCTCTACTTAAACTCTCTTCCGTCTTTCCCCCAGATATATTGGGTTGGGCCTATTATAGGCGCGGTCCTCGCAGGTGCCCTCTACGAGTATGTCTTCTGTCCAGACGTGGAACTCAAACGTCGTCTCAAGGAAGCGTTCAGCAAAGCTGCCCAGCAGACTAAAGGGAGCTACATGGAGGTGGAGGACAACAGGAGCCAAGTGGAGACCGAGGACTTGATTCTGAAACCTGGGGTGGTGCATGTGATTGACATTGACCGTGGAGACGAGAAGAAGGGGAAGGACCCGTCTGGAGAGGTACTGTCTTCAGTATGACTAGAGGATAGCACTGAAAGCAGGAGAGAGTCCTTACAACTGTCCTCAGATTTCCTCCCGCCCATTAAGGAAACGGATCTGTTATAACTTAGACAGGTGCAGGTTTGTTGCTTCACATCTTATTACTCAGTCTAAACAACATGCATTTCACTTTTTACCAAGGAGAAAGGAAGAAATTGATTGTGAACTCAAAATTTCAAAACAGAATTCTTTTTAAAGTATCCCAAAGCCAACATGCATCCAGTTTATCTAGTTGCCGTTAACAACCAATTGAAAATATGTATCAAGATTTAGTTAAGTCTTGGCTTCCAGAACATATAGACTCACCAGCCACCCAATACCTCCTCTGTGAGGAAATTCGTATTGCCCAGGCTCATTTGAATATTTACTTCATTGAATTACTTTAACAATGGCAAATGCATTATGCCACAGTGTCACGCATATTCAAAAGAAGAAATGTAATGAGTTCTTCCAGGGTAATCCCTTATTTAAAAACTACCTCGGCAATAAAAATACATTAGCAGGGGTCATTGGTAATCCGCTATTTGTATTTATATTGCAAACACCTGACTGTCAAACCCCATTGCCAATCCATTATAATCCTTCTTCTCCTCAAAATCCAAGATACTGTGGGGCTAAAGCCCAGATATTTGGTAAGAATATTCATTTATGTACATGTGTGAGCTCCATCTAATGAAACACCCAAGTCATAAGGAACATCTAGTGAGATTCTGGACAGACCTGTGAAATCTTATGGGCGGATAGGTTACCATTATACAAAAAGATCAGAAGGAAAGCGGAAATCTGTGTGCTGTACCAGATGATTGACCTGTTTTCAGTGCACGCTCTCAGCTGTACCACACAAGATTAACCACCTAAGCTTTTAACCACTTGGCTTACTTTGTAAGATATATTGTCAAAACTGGGGAGTTTGTTTGTAATGTTGGCTGCCTATATTTAAACACTTCAGATATTTGACAAGAACTTGACTAGTAGAATCCTGCTTTTCTGTTGGTTTCTAAGTCCTGCTCACTCTAGAAGGTGTGAACTGGTTCTCCACATCCCAACCTCTGGTGCTGTTTCACTTCCCATGATATCTGTTGATAATCTTCCCTGCAAGTGTAATAATACCAGAGTGAATTAAAATGCGTGGCAGACAAGGCGCACGGCTGCAGGATGAAAGGGCCAGGGCATCTACTCTGTTTAAGGCTGACTGACGACCAATCCTTCATTTGCTGAGGTACTGTACATAGCTCGATATGTTTTTATTTTCCTTACTGACTGGTTTACTTGTTAAAACCATTTGTTTCTCCTGCACCTGCTGTGCCTTCTGTCCGTGGACTCTTTCATGGAAACCCCAGTTTCTGTCATCTTAACAGTCTAGTCTAGCGTTTATCTTAGACAAATGCTACAAATGTCAGTTTCACAGAAGTTTGTAGGGAGAGCAAAGACTCATCAGTGAGGAGTGGCTTGTAAATAGCTGATAATCGAGGGCTTTCTTCTCCCAAGCACATTTCCAACTGTGTGTGACTTTTTATTGTTCATGGCAGCTCTGTGTCTGTGGCTATGAGATAATGGACCACTGTCAAACCTGATTCTCTTCGGTGCTAGGAAAGAGTGATGTGTTTAAGTTCTCAGACAAGCCGTCAGGCCAGTGTGTGCCTCGGAGTGCCAGCAGTATGTTTTATGGCAGATGCTGGAAACATAGGGCTCAATTTCAGGGGTGCAGCCTTCAAATACACTATGCCAGAGATACAAGGTTACTTCCGGACTGGGTGCCACCCACAGAACTAGGGTGTAAACCTCCTCCCAAGGATGGTTTGTGAGCATTATTTCAAATGTTTGCACAGTATACCACTACAGGCTGAAGATCAGGGTGGTTCAGTTCACAAGGTAATATCAACCATCAACAAACATGCCTGCTCAAACATAAATTTAGTTAACAAGGAAGCTAACCAGGTTTCTGAATATGCTCACCCAATACTGGCTTGTAATTATTTTTATTCTGCCATATGGCTTCCTTCACATGGGTTTACACTCATTTCTAGTTATAGCATTCAGTAAGTTAGAGTTTGAAAAAGAGAAAGAGTGAAGCATGATTTTGTAATTTGTTTTCCAGCAGCTAGCAGGGAAACAATCATGTTAGTTGAAAATATATGGCTCTGAGGACTGGAGAGATGACCCAGCGGTTTAAGCACTGAGCAATTCAACACTCTCTTCTGGCCTCCAAAGGCACTGCAAGACACAGGAGAGATGGCTCAGTGGTTAAGAGCGCTGGCTGCTCCTGCAGAGGACCTGGGCTTGGTTCTCAGCACCCACATGGCAACTAAAAACCATTCTTAACTCCAGTTCCAGGGGATTCAAAGTCCTCTTCTGACCTCTGCAGGCATTGCACAACATGGGTGCACTTATACACATGCAGGCAATACACCTATACACATAAAATAAAAATAAATAAATCAATATATATATATACATGATTCTCATTTGGGATTTAAGAATATAAGCATATCTTTTCATTTTGATTTTGCTCACTCTGTAATAAAAGCATGGTTTCTAATATTATTACAGGAAGACATCATAAATTTGAAAAACAAAGACTATATTGTCAAACTCTAGTGTATTTAAGGGCACGCAGTGAGTAAGAGGCTCAGCATTCTTTCTCTGCCTATGAGAAACATATTTTGTATTTCACCCAAGGCTCTGCCAGTAAAAAGTAATGAAATTGCACCTTTCTAATGATATCCATGCAGCAGTGGTCTATTGCCTTGTGGATGGCACCAAATTATCCAAGAGATTGGGGCTTTTGCCTTTAATCCCTTCTTATTAATGAAGTGCATAGTGCTTTTCCCAAGAGACAGATGCTGATAGATACACAACAGAGCAACAGAAGGAGAAGCCGGAAAGACATAAATGAATAATACCAGCCACGGAACAACGCCAAATGTCCGTTCCCTCCGGAGGAATACACAGACACCCCAAATTTCAAAGTGGTCCCACCCTGAAAAGGCACAATCTGTCAAGACAGTACAGAAGGGAAAGAGCCATTTTTTAAAGCTTTCAAGGCTTTAACTCTGGGCCCAGATTTTGAATGTAGAAGATGGAATTTTCTTCCAAACGTCCTAAGGCCTCGCTCTAGAACAAAGTATTTTCTAGAACCTAAGTCGCTGGTGATTTTGCAATGTATTTCTGTCCTTTGACACTTTTCATTAGACCCCCTTACTTTCGATCATCAGAGGGTTCCCACCACAGCTCACAGTCTTCAGTTAGGGCTGCCAGCTGCTGAAGATTTTACAAGGAGATTAGAAATCTTTGGAAAACACATATGCTAGAAATGAGCTGATTTATTAGAAGTTTGATTCCAAAAAGCACCAACTCTTTTTCTAGGCTGTGAATCCAGGCAACATGTATTGGTTTAAACTTGCTAATGACAGGGAAATTCCAAAACAGTAACAGCGTTAAATGATGACATTAATCCTGGCACTGCCTTTGTTGTGGCCTGTGGGAACCCTCCCCACACATCACAATCTTGACAGAGACATTGACCTTGTGACAAAGGAAGATAGTAGTCTGAGCTAAATAGATAAACTTCAAAAAACACGAAAACCAATATGTCATCCTAAGACTGTAGAACATTGAATTCTAAACACTTGGGACTGGAATGTAATGACGTCTTCCCCAATAAGCCCGTGGCATAAAAATTGTTAGAAAATGTGGTTACTATTTGAAAGTGTAATGTAACAAAACTCACTTTCTTTACCTCAAAGTTTGTGAATTCATATTTATGTTTTAATGCTTTCCAGATCATCCTTAGACAACACTAACTTTTGAAGCCCCCAATTCTCTGAAAGAAATGTTAGATATTTAATTTCAAAGCTTAAAAATGGTGGACATTGACTTTTTGCAAATTACCCCTAGCCTATGAATACACACAACTAAGTGCTATATAAAACCTGCCAGGAACACTAAATTTAGGAGCACCTAAGGTGTTACACTTCCAAGTCAAAAATCAAAGAGCTAAAAACATACACCTAACATATAACCCATTGGAATGTGTTTCTAGATTATTTTCAGGATTGATTAAATAATGCACAATTTATGGAAATATATAAGCAATTATTTATCATTTTTATGACCCACATAAAAATAAAATTGTAATTCATGATGGACTAAGAATAAAATGAACAGATGGTTATATTCACAATTATTAACTTAAATGTTATACCAATATTAGAGCTAATGTTAAAAAGAGTTAAACTGTTATGCCTAGTATTTGAAACATCTATTAAACGTATTAACATTGTGGTTGATTTCCATGTGTATGTTGTATCTCATATGACTAAGCTTGTGCAAATAAACTTTCAAATGTTGAAAAAAGTAAACACTGTATTTGGTGCTGTTTAAAAATTCATTTGTAGTTTGTGCAAGATATATCTTAAGAACTTTCTTGGGAGTAAACAAGAGGTTTAGATATTTGAGCATAATCTACACCAAATGAAATGGTGGGAGAACCCATGAAATCAAATGTATTTTTGAAAGTCTGCAGAGCATTACTGTGGTAGGCCCAGATACAGACAGTGAAAATTAGGTTTTCATAGGCATCATTCATAATGTCCACATCTATGCAAAACAGACCTTGGGTATCGGCTATCATTATAGTGAGCTTAAAAGTAAAACTCCAACAACTGTGATTGACGCTGCTAAATAGATGTTCCATCCTCGGGGCATTTGGCAGATCCTGCCCACCCAGATGGATAATGTAGGCTCAGTGAGCACTTGTTTGCCCCACCCCTTGTTCAAGATTTGAAGGTTTTCTTGGTTTTGAGGGGCTATGGACCTTCAATGCAGGATCAAGGGTGATCACTGATGGAATGTATAACCCATCTGATGAGGGATGAATAATCCTTAGGAGCCAGATGGATGCATATCTATCATAGCATTTGTTGCATTGTGATTAAATGATTTGCAAAGAAATCTGTCTCCTCCGCTAAACTCCTTCAGGGTCACAAATATGTCTTATTTATCCTGCATCTTTTCCCATCCCCATTATCAACCCTGTACATTAAGAAACTTGGCATTATACTGGATTAAGTGCTTGCTGCATGAATAAATAAATTAAGTAATATCTTATAATTGTGAGGAAATGCCACAGAGCCCTATTTTTCAACTTAGTTGCTTTTTAATGCATAGATGTGCATGTGTGCTAAATATTTCAATTCTTAGAATCCCAGGTAGGAGGTCAAAATTAGCTCAAATACTAAAGAAAGAGGAAAATGCCCACAAAGAATGCAACACTAATTGGATTTCTAAAATTTATACCTAGTGTGCAGGCGACGAGACATGTTTTCATTGCTATGTTTATACAATGGCCAGATGTTAGATGAAATTTAGCTCAGTGAGTATTTCGGCAAGCAAAGTATTTTAACAGACATGCTAAGCTAGAGATATAAATGTCAGCCTGCTTTTTTATAATTATCCTACTTGGAAAATGTCCAAAACAATGTCACCTGAACTAATTCTTACCATTTTAAGTTTTTCCGCTCCTTCGTTGCTTGGATTTAAAGAAACATTGGCAACTTAAAAAGCTAACTTGAGTTCTTGTGCCTGCACATGTTCTGAAATCTCTGAAAAATCATGACATCAATGTTCATAGCCTCTCTGCATAGCACAGAGATAGCACATGGCCAGAGCCCAAGAAATATAAGATGAATGGATAGAAGGATGGATGCATGCATGGATGCATGGGTGAATCAAAGGAGCACGACAATCTGGAGATATTTTAGAGAGCAAACAGAAAGCACAGCACGCACTCCTTCCCTTTCAAATGGCCACTTCCCACAGAAGAGGCATAGCTTTAAGAAATATTATCCAAGGGCTAAAAAAGAAAGAGAAAAAAAAATGAATGGATTAGAATAATGTATCAGTTGTGGAAACATATATAAGGGGCTAAGGAATTTATAAATACTGCTTACAGTCATATCATCTTAATGCTTGTTTTAAGGCAAGCACTGCTATCATTTCCATTTCCAAAAATGAAGAAAGTATTTAAAGGAATAAATAGATTACCCCAAATCACACCTAGTAGGAAAGCAAAAACTGAGGCCTATATTCCAATTAATCCCAATCGTCTTTGTAATTCTCTTGAATCAAACAAAGATCTCTCATGCCCCTATCAGTCTATTTTCCCATCAGCCATATTTCCTTTTAGTGGCTCATGTGCATGCATACATGTACATATGTATGTATGTATATGTATATTATGCACACAAGGGGAGTCCTCATCATACCATATCACTATGGGGCAATAAATTAAATACTGAGAACCAGATCTCAGAGACGATTTCAAAAACTAAAATAAGGTATAGCACTTGCTACAACAGATTTACTTAGGACTTTGAATACTTTGAGAAATTTGGGGGTTTTTTTCTTTAGGAATGTATTATCAAAATAACTACTGTAGATATGGCTCATTTGATCCTTAAAAGATTAGAGTTAAGGATTTGTTGCAGTTACTATTGAAGTCTTCAGTATTTCAATAATAACAACAGTTGAGCACTTCCTATGTACCTGATATGCATACCCAATCTGCTCATCCTTATAGGAACCTTGTGAGGTGGATGAGGTTGTTACCCTGTTTTAGGGATAAGGAAATTGAAGTCTAAGAAACTTGAGCAGTATGTTCAAAGTCACAGGACAATCGGGTGATAGAAGTGTGACTTGAATTCAGGCAGCTGTCCACAGTTCTGCTCCTGGCCCCGCCCGCTGGGGACTCGGCACAGGTGCGTTCAGTTTCCAGTACACCCAACTTCCACTATCTGCACTCTTCGTGCCTTTGATTTTTCATATCAATAGAGATTACAGTATGTTGGGACATCTCAGTTGTTCCCGACCTAATCTTCGCTATCGCCTTGACCACC